CTTCTTTATAATTCAAACTTACAGAGAAAAAAAATTTAAATGGAGAAAAAAATCATCCAGGCCAGCATTGTAAAAATGAAGGAAAAAATTCTTAATTCATTGGTATATAAAAAGAAATAAAAAGTAGAAGAAAATTAATCCATTCAGTTTAAAAAATAGGAAATATTTGCAAAAGTTCCATCCATGAAAAAATATTTTTAAAAAACAAGGATAACACACTGTCTAACATAGCTTAATTTCACCGCTTACTGTCTTCTGTTTTCAAATTTAATTTAACTTTATTTTTTGGGTAGTCTCGTCTAATAATAAAATTTCCTCACCAAACGGCACACTTTCTCTTTCTGCTTTTCTCCCGTTCTGGAGCTGTACCAACTTCAGCAGCTTCAGTGGCTGCGCTTCTATCTCTGGCAAGAAGAGGTTCTCCTGGATCAATCAGGGATTTTGCAATGTCCCGGAGATCAGCAGGGCATACTCTTCCCTGTCACTGTCTCTGCGGGACAGTTTAGGTCCAAAATGACCGTCCAGCGAAAAAAGTATCAACTGCGATCCTGGAGTTCCAAGATCGCATGTCGTGTTGTCGTGACGCTAGCGTCTCCTTTTTTCAGGAACCGATAGGTTCTTAATAGGTTGATTTCCCTTGGTCAGTGAAGTTTGAAAGATGATCTTCAAAAGCTCACTTTGGACCTTTCTTATAGCTGACCAATCGTTTGAAGCCATATTGCTGATTCCTCGGGGAAGCAAGCAAGGAGAAGAAGGCCGTTTTCCCCTTGTGGTTTCTCCACATGGTAAGTCACATCCATTCTTCTTTTTGGCTTGAGTAAGCTATTGTATGTGCTAAAAATTAGTCCTATTTTCTTGCTTCATTTGGGGTTCCTTGAAATTTTAAGGGGCAAAGGTTATTTATTACATAGAGCTGCAGTTTGCTGCTTTAATGAGTTGAGCCACATTTCCAAGAAACTAAGTGTAATTTGTTGATCAGGATTTCCACCTTCTGCTTGTTCCCTTTTTCTTCTTCAAATCTAGATATCTGTTTTCTTACTTACGAAGAAGAGTGATGTTAGAGCATTTTGGATTCTCAGATCACTTTTCTAAAATCAGTCCATTTCTGTATATCTATCATTTTCTTTCCAGGTGGTCCACATTCAGTTTTTGATGCTTGCTGGCGTCCAACTATGGCAGGTCTCTGCCGGCTGGGTTTTGCTGTGCTTATGGGTGAGTGGCCCAGGATTCCCACATTTAATTTTCTTTGCCTTTCTAAGGTTTTGTCCAAAGAGACATTGCATACTACAGTTGATTACCTCAGTTAATGTCCACTTGTTCAGCAACCATTTGAAATTATGATGGTGCTGAAAGAGTGGTTCTTATAACCAGTCCTCGGATTTCTGGCGATTGCAGCAACTGGTCCAGATTTCCAACCTCACAATGTCCTGCAGTCATGAGAGCACCAAATGCGACCTCTGCAAGGTGCCAACAAGCAGTCAATGGGGAAGTCGGCAGAAAGTTGGAAAATATGGTCACACCAGGTCCTTGCTTAAAGACCCACAGTAATTTGTTTGATGACGATAATGGGGGGCTGCCAGAACTGCCATTGCTAAAGGACGCAGTCACATGATGTCACACTTTACAACTATGTTGCTTAACAGTGGCAATTTCGGTTCCAGTTACCCTTGTTAAGTGAGAAATACATGTATTTGTGAAATGATCCTGTGTACTTCAGATAATTAAATGAAAAGGGTAGACTTTTCTAGAGAGGAAACTTGTGATTTCTTGAGAGGACCTTTTCACTTCCTCATTCATTTTTCTATGAAATGACTTCTGCTAGTTTGAATCAGATTACCAAGAAAAGAGGCAAAACTACCAGGAAGAGTAGAAATTGAATAAGAAATTATTTGCAGCACACTTCCCAGAAGAAGAGGCTGTTACAAGACAGCAGCATCAAATGAGCTTAGATGCAAGATCTTACAATACCGATTCACTTCCTTCCAGTGTGAGAATATATCCTCCATGAAATGCACATCCAGAATATTGCTGCCTCCTCACCCTTTTATTGAGATGGTATCAACTTTCATCATACAGTTTCAGGAGTATAATGTCTGCTCTTTCTTTAATGAAAACATTCCCATTGCAGTATTGCTTCAGCAAGAACAACGGAATAGATTAAATCTCTACTGAGCAAAACTCATGGCCCCAGCTTTGCTCTGGGAATGGAGTGAGCTATTATTTTCAATGCATATTCTTCATGCATACGTAGCTCACTTGAGAGGAAACCTATTGTTTAATTAGTTATTAAATCACAGTATCCAGAAAAACAGTTTCATAGTACATAGAACTTTGATTTATCAGTGGAGATCAAACCGTGACTTACAGTCTTTGTAAGCAATGCTCATGCGAGTTTTAGAATTAAAACTATGCAGGGAACTGTTTTAACAAAAAAGAGAATGACTTATTGAAATATTTGAGCTAGTTACTTACTCCCTTTACAACTAAAACCACAGCAACAGAGCAGAGGTGGATTCCTGCCGGAATTACTGCTGGTTCGGCATGCAAAAAAACTTGTGCGTGCAAAATGTTTTGCGCAATTAGGTGCGCATTTGCACCTAAGAAGGTCTGTGCATGCGCACAATGTTAGAAAAGGGGAAAAAATTAAATTTTTGCAATGAAGATTGTTCCGGGCATGCGTAGAAACAAAAATCAAGATGACGCCGCCGATAGAACCAGTTCAGGGGCGTGGCAGGCCGAGTTACTACCTACCTGGCCAAACCGTGCTGAACCGGTAGGAACCCACTTCTGCAGCAGAATGACATCAGAACGAAGTCATGGGAGACCAATAACAGCACAGTAGCTGGTACTTCTCATGAGCAGCTTCACATTCTATACATCAGGGTTTTTTTACTATAGAAATGCTTAATTTTTGAAAAGTGCCTGATAGCCAGGTGCCTTTCTTGGAAGCTGCTCAAAACCTGGAAAGCACTGGAGGTTGCCCTTGACTCTTGTGCTTTATTTTTTCTATACAGTGAATTACAGGGGTTCCTTGGGTTTTGGCCAGGACAGCATTGATTCACTCATTTCTCATATTGGAGTACAAGATGTGGCGGACACTCAGGTCAGTCTCTTTTGTTTCTTCATTTTTTTCCCTCCCATTCTGTGGAAGAAGCCTGAGGTTAGGCCAGATTTAAGGCTAGAACAGAAGGCAACATTATTGTATAATATTTCATCCTCTTTACAATGAATCTGCCTTCTTTTTGGGGTTAGCAGAACAAGTTATGGTCACAGATGTGGTGTCCGCAAGGCAAGTCTGTAATATATAATGTTCCTATCAGAGTAGAGCTCTTCTTTTCTTCATCCCTTTTGGCTTCTCTGCACAGTTGGCTGAGTTGGCCCTTAGCAGATTCATCCAAGCCATTTTGATGCGGTGCTCAGGTCATGGGTGTTGGAAGAGCAAACTCAGTATTTTGAGTAGCAGAGCATTACTGGCATAGCCTGATGCATACATTCCTGTTGTCTGACAGCATCCCTTTGAAGAAGAAGAAAATCTTTCTCTTGCATAAACAACAAGATATTTGCTGAGCTTCATAGGGAGAGTTATTAAGGGACTTATTTGTATATTGTGGGTATGACAAGCCACAAGTTCAGTTTTGTGAACTCCGTTGCACTCTACTGCCCAAGAAACTGCTTTCTGCACCAGGTCTAGCTGTGCAACAGCCTCTGAGATACTTGCTTAATGTTCCTCTTACAGCTGGCAGTAGATGTGGCACTGCAGATGGCGAATTTGGACCCAAATAGAATTGCCTTGTTGGGAGGCTCTCATGGTGGCTTTATCTGTTGCCATTTGATTGGTCGGTTTCCAGAGAAGTACAAAGCCTGTGCAGTCAGAAATTCCGTCACCAATATGGCCACTCTACTGGGGACCTCTGACATTCCCGACTGGTAAGAAGCATGCCTCCTCAAGCCCCCTGCACGGTCTAGCCCAAGAGATTGGCTTTTTTTTTTTTTTGCCTCCCAACCCATTTCAAGCACACATGTTTTGGAGTCTTTTGCCAATTTCATCTGTGCATGTCTCGGTTATATAACTTCTCATCCTAATTCAGCTCTCATATAGGGCTGCCTGATCCTCAATATTCGGGCGCCATACATCCTCCTTTTTCCTTTCCGAGCCTTTCACAAATGCCATTTCTAGCAATCAGGTTTTTTTTTGGCACCTTAGTACAGGCAGAGGTCATAGGGATAAATATTCTGTACACTTTCCCCAGGCGGTACGCTTCTCTAGGTCTGCCATACTCCTATGAGCGGATTCCTACGGAAAAGGATCTGGCTGCCATGCTGCTCTCCTCCCCCATTATTCATGCTGCAAAGGTAAGAACCAATAAGCGGAGCTGCTCTTTTACTGCAGAAGCTGTGCCTGCAGCAAACATCTTGCCTGTGTTTTTTCTCTCTATTGCATGTCTAAAGCCCTGTAATTAGATTTTTAAAAAAGCTCACCGTTTAGCGTAAGTAGTGCTCACACGTAGAATTAAAACTGTACTGCATTTCCAAGCAGAGTCCAGATGGGCATTTGTAAGGAATGTTTTCTTGTTAAAATGTTTTTATTTTCCATTTTTCATTTTCATACAGTCACATATATACTGTGCATAACCGGGGCCATACAACATTAAACAATAATCACAGCAGTTCCTCTTGTCAACAATACCCCCAGAAATATAAATAAAATAAAACTCAAACTCAAACTCAAATAGAAACCCAATATACCTCTTCCGCTCTCCATACACCTCTTTCTTCCGCCCCCCTCCAACTTACTATCTTCCCTCCATCATTCCCCTCTACCCTACTTCCCCTCCCCCTCTACCACTCCTCTCTCCCAGTCCACTCCCTCCCTTCCTTCTCACCCTCCCTCCCATCCTCTCTCCCGCCCTCTCTACCCCTGTAAGGAATGTTTTAATGAAGACTCAAGTTGATGACCTGAATGTCCCCTTCCATTTTTTTTTTCATTTCATTGACTGATTCTGTGCCGTTAAGTCAGCTTCAACAATTAGCAACTATATATTTTATATCACATGGCTATAGTCAGAATGTTTGAAAGCTGTCCTGAGAGGACAGATAAGTAGCTTATTCATTCCAATAAATGCACGTTTCCTGACAACTCAGCAGAAAAGCAAAAGCAAAACGAGTCTGCATGTCTATAAACTTATGTGTCTGTCAGTACTGATGTGTGTGTGTGTGTGTGCTATCTCATTCAACTAGAAGACTGTTGTGAACCAACCTTGTGAATAACAGAAGACAAATTGCATTATTAGCTTAATTTGAATAATTCACATAGATGTATTCTGCCATTTGGGGTCCAACACATACTGGTATTTGTTTTATTATATTTTGCTTGAAAACAAATATGAACAAACTTGCATGACTCAATGTTACAAGCTATGTGAGGTTTTTTTGGCTGGTTACCTCTTGGTTCCTCCCTCTCCTACAGGTACAAGCACCTCTGCTGCTATGTGTTGGGGCAAAAGACCGTCGAGTGTCTCCTTACCAAGCTTTGGAATATTACCGTGTGTTGAAAGCTAGAGGAATCCCTGTGCGGTGAGTTGCCATTCAATACATTGAGTCAAAGCAAGAGAATGTCTTCTTGACTTTTTAGTTTAGTCACATTCCCATGGCCAGATACTGTGGCTCCTGCCTTAATTGTACTGCAGTGGATTTGCCAGCAGAGTGGAGGAACAAAAATGAATTTGAATACAGGTATTCCTCGCTTACCGACAGTAATTGAGACAAACAAACGATGCAAACAAGCTACGGCTCTTAGCCAAATAGAACATCCAAATTAGAGGAAGCAGAAGGCTAGCCTGTACATAGAACTTGTGAATTCTGTAATAAGCAATTGGTAACTAATACTAATGGAGATTGTGTAATATTTTATCCTAAGTGGAAGAGATGTCCCAGTTTTGTATCAATTGCAATTTCCAGATAGGTTTCAAGTGTTGCTCCATGCAAAAGTGTGATGTGGGAATCAAGACAAGATCTGATCTGGACAAGAATAAGAATTGCAAAACAAATCTGACCATAGGGGTGCAAACGTGCTTTTCACCATAGCTACGTTCTGTAAATTCAGTGACAACATAGGATTAAGAGATATCTTAAGATTTCGTGTTTTCACTTTTAGTACAGTTCTATGTAAAACAAACCAATACCATACCAAAACTTAATGCTGTATCCAGTTTCTTTCCAACAGCATTCTCCTCTTGTGTTCATTTAATTAGAATGTTTATCATTCTCCCAGTCCTTTCTGGAACTTAGACATTGTTTTAGGACATCTTAATGCTTCTTGGTGTTGGATGGTAAGCAACAAGACATCTTAGGGGCATCAGTATGCCCTGGAAGCATTGGATGGCATCCCACTCCAAGATTCCAGATGATCTTCCCCTAATTGTCTGTTGACATTGACTAGCATGAGAGACAAAATTGAATACTGTGGGGCATTACAAATGTATGGGGAAGGTGTCAACAGCATTCCTCTAGCATTAGCTTTTGACTTAATACTTGAGGCCTAATTCCAGACTCTCTGGAAGAATATCATGATGAATGGGATTGAATAATGCTGAGAAATCCAGGAAAAAATGTTAGGGCTGGGCTTCCATCAGGTTTACAGCATAAACTATCTAGTAGGTCACTCAATACTGTATCTTGGCTAAAGGCATGATTGAAAAGGGTCCTGCTAAGCAGCAACATTTCCATGCATGTAGGTAAAGATTCCCCTTGCACATATGTGCTAGTCGTTTCTGACTCCAGGGGGCGGTGCTCATCTCTGGTTCAAAGCCGAAGAGCCAGTGCAGTCCGAAGACGTCTCTGTGGTCATGTGGCTAGCATGGCCAAAGGCGCACGGAATGCTGTAACCTTCCCACCAAAGTGGTTCCTATTTTTCTACTTGCATTTTTACATGCTTTAGAAATACTAGGTTGGCAGAAGCTGGGACAAGTAATGGGAGCTCACTCCGTTACACAGCGCTAGAGATTCGAACCACCAAACTGCCGACCTTTCTGATCGACAAGTTCAGCATCTTACCCACCAGCCACTGCATCCCTTCTATTCATATAGATGCATATCACCAGCATTATCTAGATGTGTATTGTATAGGTGCATAAGGCCCACCATTTTCTCAATCGCTTTCCCCAGGGATAGAATGTTTGAGTTCACAGATCAATAATTGTCTGAGTAAAGGCAAGGTTTTCTTCAATTGAAATATTAGACACAGGGGAACATATCCCCTTTAGGGGGTACCATTGATTGCTTCCTTGATTAGGAGTCCAGATTTTTCCTTGGTAATTTAATCAGCCATGAACAGCATTGATTTAACAAGCTGCTAATAACCTTTATCTCTCAATATCCTCAAATTTACAAGCTAGGAAGGATGCAGAGTAGCACGCAGCATCAGAGATTATATTGCAAACTGACCCACCAAATGCAAGCAGAGCCAATGGAGTTTATACACAATGGAGCCAATGGAGTTTATACACAAAGAACACAAATGACAAGTTTTTCCAATCTGCTGCTACGGGCTTTTTTTTTTTAGAAAGCAAGAATAGCAGAAAAACTATGTGCCTGAGTGTCCAACTTTCTTGGGTGTATTACTTATTGGAAAATGTTATTACAGTTGGTTATGCTGAGAAATCATATACAGGGATTCGTCAATATTTTTTTTCAAACCAAATCAGGTAGATGAGATAACAGTGAAGGCTGAAAAGACAACCCCTTGTAAAAAGGCCAGGAACCACTTTGGCAATGACAGGTGACAAAGAAGTTGACAATAAGAGTAGATTGGCATAACTTCTTTAAAAAATAAATGACATGTTTATTTTAAAATAAGTGTACTGTCAGTACTGTACTATCTTTACTGTCAGTCAAAGCAAAGAATTTCCCTCAGCAATTCAGGAATATTTTTAAAACATGCCAAAGAAACGGTAATGAAAAGCTACCTTGTAACAACATACTTCTAACAAAGAACTTTTGCAAAACACCTCACCGATGTTCCTTTTTACAGACTGATGTGGTATCCAGAAGAGAATCATGCCTTAAGTGGAGTAGTAGCTGAAGCAGATGTATTTATGAACTATGCCCAGTGGATTACACATCACCTTTTCAGAAACGTAGATTGAAAGTCAATTGCCAACTAAATATGAAGACATCTAAGTTGCTTACAGTGATCTTCACAATGCGTCAGGAGTTTCTTTTTCCCCAACTCAATTTACAATCAGATTGTGGACATCTGAAGATTCTTCTTTGCCAATAATCCCTTCAAAATGTTTTTAAGGAATTCTGTTAATAATGTTAAAAATATCTACTCAAATCCTGATTCTGATTGAAAAATTGATGTCTGATAACTGGTCTTCCAAAAAAAGCTTTGCTATTAGATTGCTAAATGATATAATCAATCAAGCCAACTTGTTTATTTGAATAGATGGATATGCTGACATAATCCAAAGGAAATTCTCCAATAAGGCTTCTCATTTGCAACTGAATACTTTTTAGTGGGTTGGTTTTATATGTGAGCAGGTCTCAGCATTAATAATATTTTTTGATGATTAAGGAATGATTAATGATATCTACTCAGAATCACCTGAACCATGAGTGATAAATATATGTAATAAACAAACAAACAAATAAATATCAAAGACTGTTTTTATTCTTTCTCAGTTCTCTGATGGAATATTTGTTGCTTTTAGAAACTTCTGATGGAAAATGCCCACCATTTTCCTCTATCAATAAATGTGGATATACTGCAAATTACAAATATTTGTTTACCATAGATACTAATTATAAACTCATTCATCAGCGATGGACTCTTATGAATCTGTAACACCATCTCACACACATGAGATGAATCAGCAGGGTCTTGGTGGGGTTGAGGAGCACACACACTCACAACCAACAAGCTAATGTGCTGAAACTGAGGACACTAGCTAGATGAATACCTGGTAGGCAGATTTTTTTTCCTATTTTCCTCCCCAAAAACTAAGGTACGTCTTATACTCTGAAAAATACAGTAATTATTATATCAAATTTGAGGCCTCTGTAAGAATGGTTATATACAATTTGGCACGCAGTTGCTACAAACAATGTAACTGTAATTACATAAAAGATAAAATGCAGTACAATCATTTGTGGTGGCTATAATTTATGTTACTTGAGAAGTATTTCTGAGAAAGCATAGAAATATTACATGTACTATTACAATAGAAAAACTCAGGTTTTCCTGGACTACAGAAATGTCATTTCAGATGTGAAAAAAAATTGAACCACATGTAGGTTAATACACCTATAATGGACCAATACATTAATCATTAACATTTTTTTAAAAATGAATGTCTGGACTGCAAAAATAAAGATATGGTATGATGTTTTGTATGCTGGTTCAGAGGATAAAGTTGCTAATCACATTCAGCTGCCTTGGACAATACCTCCCATGAACCCTTGGAGTTGGCTATGAATTGTTATCTTTTGACATCTGGAGAACACCAGATCACAAGTGATACCAAAAAGAGAGAAGGGATTTTCAAAAAAAACCACACTGAAGGTCTGCAGCACCCATTTGCCAGAAATTATCCCAGGACTTGGAAATGATACATGTGTTCTAAGGGCAGCAATATTTCTTTAAATCTGTGGAATATTCAACCTCAATTGAACTTTTAATACTGATGATAAAAAAAAAGAAATTGCAGACAATGTCCATGTTAAATATAAACCCAAGAACTGCTCCAATGAGGAGGCCATGGTTAAAGCCTTGCATATTGAAACTTCGGCCCATGATTATATTCACTGAAAGAGCTGATACTCATGGATAACAACCAACCAGTCCTATCAAAAGGACATGAGGGATTTAATAATGCAACATATTAGCTTATGCTTAGTTAAAGCATATTAGTTTAGTCATATGTTCAGTTCACACTTCTTAGAGGATGGTTTCATAATGTTCTCATTAAATTTGCTAGTTTGAAGCCATGATGGTCACTAACATCAATATTTCTTCAGCTAAGCGTCTAGCAAAAGATGCAGTATAATAAGCAATTAATTGTTGCAGATTCTCTTAGCCACTTAGATAAACTCCACAAAATGGAGCACAAAAATTGTGACTGACGTCAGCTTATGGAAGTATCTTTTCTATAAAATCAGGAACCTTTTTGGCAATGCTTTTCACGTGACATGAGAATGACTGCTCTACGCTAATTCTGAGAATGGCGAGACGAGCAGCAATTTATGATAAATATACAAAAGCTCAGCTCAACCTCATCACTTTGTTGATCCAGTCAACATACATAGAGATTCGGATGAAGGTGGCAGGCACGTCTTTGCGAGCACATACCCGCAATGGGGTGATCACACCTTCTAGCACCCAGCAGTCTTGAGTCAGGCAGGCCAAAGGACCTCCAAAGTCACCCTGCAGAAAAAAAGACCAACTCAAGTCAGAAATAAGCTCTAGCTTAAGGAGCACAGCAACACACGACAAAGTACATGGGTTGGTTTTCTACCTGAGACATTTGTTCAAATGGCTTCCCTGACCTATTTGCCTTGAAATCACTTATCTGCAGCTTCACTTTTCAGTTCATATCTTGGGGGACTATTTCCCATTGCTCATTTTTTTTAAAAAACACAAGAGGTTGGCAGGCAACTTTTTAGGGGACGTCATAAAGGCCTAGGGCCATCTCCATTTTTTTAGACCAATCTCAGAAAATTGCCTACCCTGAGATGTTGACAAGAACATTGTAAGACTGTGAGGTTAGGTGATTTAGGAGATTAGCCATTTTTTCAAAACTAAAAGTATTTTATTTAAAAGTATTCAAATTGCGGGCATCCTAGGCTGAGGTTATTGGAGGTACCATGTTTCTGCCTTTCGGTAAGGCTTGTCCCTTTTCTTTACTATTCAGCTTTCCAGATGTTGGCCTCTCATCTGTGTGTTTACTTCTCTCAACCGGTCACTTGATGGAGGTTTCCTGTCATCACCCTTGATCTTGATGCAAGTCAAGCAATTCTGTTCAATACAAATCCACCTCCCTGCCCTGCTCACCTCACAGGCTCCCACGCCAACTTTCAGTGGTGATGTACATAGCTCATTTTCCTTCAGACGGCCACGAAGTGCCACGTTGCAGTTTTGACTGTTCATGACTGGCAGCCTGGCCACATTGAGGACATTGTTATTCCCAGTTCCTGTGTACAAAGAAGAACCAGAGCATTAGATAACGTGTGAGTTATGGACCTTTCTGAGGGTGAGACCCTGTTTATGGTCGGAATGGGATAACTCACCTCAGGCAACTCGTATTACTTTTGGGCAATTTATTTATGGTTTAGTATTTTATGTGCTCACACCTATAAAAAGTTTGAGTTTTTATAACAGAATCAATATGTATATGCTAGAGCAGTGGTCCCCAACCTTTTTATCGCCGCGGACCAGTCAGCCTTTGATAATTTTACCATGGCCCGCTGAGCACGTCCATGACCAGCGCTAGTAGCGT